GAAGCAGTAAGAGATCAAAAGGCATTTTTAAAAAGTGGAAGTCAAATCCTAGTGAGGTAAATAGAAAGGAGCATAAACACTGCAAAATTAAGTGTAAAAATGTAATAAGAAAAGCCAAAAAGGAGTTTGAAGAACAGCTAGCCAAAAACTCAAAAGTAGTAACAAAATGTTTTTTAAGTATATCAGAAGCAGGAAGCCTGCTAAACAACCAGTGGAGCCCCTGGACGATCGAGATACAAAAGGAGCACTTAAAGACGATAAAGTAATTGTGGAGAAACTAAATTAATTCTTTGCTTCCGTCTTCACAGCTGAGGATGTGAGGGAGATTCCCCAACCTGAGCCGTCCTCTGTAGGTGACAAATCTGAGGAATTGTCACAGATTGAAGTGTCACTAGAGGAGGTTTTGGAATTAATTGATAAACTTAACAGTAAAAAGTCACCAGGACCAGATGGCATTCACCAAAGAGTTCTGAATATGAAATTGTGGAACTATTAACTATGGTTTGTAACCTGTCCTTTAAATCAGCTTCTGTACCCAATGACTGGAAGATAGCTAATGTAACGTCAATATTTAAAAAGGGCTCTAGAGGTGATCCCGGCAATTACAGACCGGTAAGTCTAACGTCCGTATCGGGCAAATTAGTTGAAACAATAGTAAAGAATAAAATTGTCAGACACATAGAAGAACATAAATTGTTGGGCAAAAGTCAACATGGTTTCTGTAAAGGGAAATCATGTCTTACTAATCTATTAGAGTTCTTTGAAGGAGTCAACAAACATGTGGACAAGGGGGATCCAGTGGACACAGTGTACTTAGATTTCCAAAAAGCCTTTGACAAGGTCCCTCACCAAAGGCTCTTACGTAAATTAAGTTGTCATGGGATGAGAGGGAAGATCCTTTCATGGATTGAGAACTGATTAAAAGACAGGGAACAAAGGGTAGGAATAAATGGTAAATTTTCAGAATGGCGAGAGGTAACTAGTGGTGTTCCCCAAGGGTCAGTCCTAGGACCAATCCTATTCAATTTATTCATAAATGATCTGGAGAAAGGGGTAAACAGGGAGGTGGCAAAGTTTGCAGATGATACTAAACTGCTCAGGATAGTTAAGACCAAAGCAGACTGTGAAGAACTTCAAAAAGATCTCACAAAACTAAGTGACTGGGCAACAAAATGGCAAATGAAATTTAATGTGGATAAATGTAAAGTAATGCACATTGGAAAAAATAACCCCAACTATACATACAGTATGATGGGGGCTAATTTAGCTGCAACTAATCAGGAAAGAGATCTTGGAGTCATTGTGGATAGTTCTCTGAAGATGTCCACACAGTGTGCGACGGCAGTCAAAAAAGCAAACAGGAATCATTAAAAAGGGGATAGAGAATAAGATGAAGACTATCTTATTGCCCTTATATAAATCCATGGTACGCCCACATCTTGAATACTGTGTACAGATGTGGCCTCCTCATCTCAAAAAAAGATATACTAGCATTAGAAAAGGTTCAGAGAAGGGCAACTAAAATGATTAGGGGTTTGGAACAGGTCCCATATGAGGAGAGATTAAAGAGACTAAGACTTTTCAGCTTGGAAAAGAGGAGACTAAGGGGGGGATATGATAGAGGTATATAAAATCATGAGTTGTTTGGAGAAAGTGAATAAGGAAAAAGTTATTTACTTGTTCCCATAATATAAGAACTGGGCGGGACACAAAATGAAATTAATGGGCAGCAGAATTAAAAAAAATGAAAGGAAGTTCTTCTTCACACAGCACACAGTCAACTTGTGGAACTCCTTGCCTGAGGAGGTTGTGAAGGCTAGGACTATAACAGTGTTTAAAAGATAACTATATAAATTCATGGAGTCCATTAATGGCTATTAGCCAGGATGGGTAAGGAATGATGTCCTTAGCCTCTGTTTGTCAGAGGGTGGAGATGAATGGCAGGAGAGAGATCACTTGATCATTACTTGTTAGGTTCACTCCCTCTGGGACACCTGGCATTGGCCACTGTTGGCAGACAGGACACTGGGCTGGGTGGACCTTTGGTCTGACCCAGTACGGCCATTTTTATGACCCCAATATTGAATGAAGTCTACTGGCTCTCTAGGTGGCAACCTTACCTACTGCACTATGCCGGTGCACTGAACTGCTGCCACTGACCAACAATCTTAGTAATAAATGCCTACAGAACCACAGCAGCCATGCTCCAAGCCCCTGATTGGATGGACAGGCAGCATTCTCATTGGTTACCTGGCCCATACAAAGACCCCAATAGGAGGAGGGAGCTGTCTGAGCAATAGACCATTGCCTATTGGTTGCTGCCTTTCCCAACCTTGCCCCATCACCTCACCCAACCTCACCTTCCTAACCCGCTGACCACGTGCCATGGATTTGATCATCTGACTATTGACCCATATGAGAATTCTGACCACTGCTCTGGACTGCCTCTGATACAACTGACCTTCTGGCTACCCAACCACCTGCATACACTTGACTACTGCTCCGGACTACCCCCTAGCCCTCCTTGGCCAACAGGCATTACACATGGAAAGGAGTGCACCTTCACACAGCTGGTAAATCTGGTGTTTTTCTTTGTATAAAGGGTTTAAGAAGGGACATATGTAAAGTACTCAGAGTGCATGACCCTCTGAACTGTCCTGGCAGATGAGACACTTCTTTGAGGAAGCCTTAGATGAAGGACTATCACAGTCCTGACAGCTTGAAAAATGTCTCTTCTCTTTCCTGAGAGAACATTTCTGCTCTTAAAAATGTACATACAGCAAGAGTGGGAACTCAACGACGACATTCTTGCCAACATTTTCCAGACCTGGGGTTATCCGCAACTGGATCTATTTGCCACAGCAACAAACAAAAAATGCCCGACCATTCTGCTCCAGAGCAGGCCTGGGGAAACACTTACGGGGAGACACCTTTATGCTCCCATTGACCGAAACACTCATGTATGTGTTCCCATCAATGCCTCTATTGCACAGAGTAATTCAGAAGATACGAACAGACAGCCAACATCATTCTCATAGACCCGGCTTGGCCCTGACAACCGTGGTGCCCCTTCCTCCTACGCATGTCGGTCAAGCCACCCATTCCTCTTCCCCCACTCAGCAACCTCCTATCACAACGCCGGGGACAACTATTTCACCCCAATGTACATCATCTCCACCTGAGGGCCTGGTTGATCAATGGTTCTCTAATGCGGAGTTAACATGTTCGGACCAAGTGCGCACTGTCTTGCTACACAGCAGAA